ACATAATCCGCCGGGGCTAGACGCGGTTGACGGGGCAATATGACAAATGAATTTTTATACTCCCCAAAATACAATTTGTAACGCGAAATTAAAGGGTTTGTCTCGGAATGGCCTGTCAAATGATACACGACGGTCATTCCGGCTGCAACGGCGGCGGTGGACTTGTGAAAAGAACGAAATCCTTTTTGCACGCGTGATAGTACTACCATTCGAGTGTTATACCGTGGATTTTTTCTCTCTGCCCCGTCACACGCTCCCGGTCCTGGCTCCTGTGCCGTACGCTTATTCTGGAAAACCGTTTTTGAACTCGCACCCAAAATGAAAAATGACATAAAGGATAAATTTGTAGCGTCGTGCACACAGCGACGGCTACAACATAAAACAAACTTGTTTTTTGGTCCCGAAAGTATAAAAAAAAAAAACCTACGTTTGTTAGTCGCAATTGAACATATTGCCTCCCCGAAACGATTGTAAAGTGACAATTAAATGCGGAAACTCGTAAATTGTATTCTATGTAACGTGTCCGACTTACCAAAATAGTTTTTTTTTTTATTGATTTTTTAAAAAAACATTTACAATCTGTACATAAAAAAAAAGTATACAATAAGCAAATATGTTAAAAATGTAAATATGTGACTTGAAGATTAAGGGTAGGGAAACTATCCAGCGATAGGACCCTATGACATGTTTCGGCTAGAAATTAAACGGTAGCATTACAATTTAGGAGGTCTCGACACCAACGTCTTTTAAGACGACGAGGAGCTAAAATAGTTAACCGACGCATACGATGAAAATGCAATGAAAAAAAATATTAATATTGTTTACGACAAAAACAAAACCCAAATTGTGGGTAAATAGTTACGATAATTAAGCGCTATCGGAACAACAAGTACAAGCTATTTGTCTAATCGATAACGGCATACCACACATGCCTTAAAACGAACTAGTTTTATACATGCCAGTGCAGTACATCGTCGTCTTGATCAAAAACTTAATGATGACCGTTCGACGAACAAAGCAATAATTATTTAAGATGCCCTCAACTCAGACCAGTCCCGAATACCTAAGCGTACCATACACGTGTCGCGGGGAGTTGAAATTAATTTTGTCGGTATCTCGTTGGCACCGTACGTCTTTCATATAAGGGAAGACGACACACTAGTTAGTTGTCCTGCAAACAAACCTGCTCCGGTGATTCTGTCATGTCTACAATACATGTACGTGGTTAGCCACTGACGTCACGTTCTCTCATTGTACAAATGTACATCCTTACAAATGCGTATATTACAATATTGCTCCACAGTCCATACTATCCATACTACCCGGAAGGGCGATTTTCTACTCTTTCTAAGCGTTGTGAAAAATATTTACAAGATGATTTGTTAAGGATAAGACATCCGTTTAAAAATTGTAAAGTATGTTGCTACAGCTTTCATGGTATTAGTTGATTAAAAATATTCGTTGTAAATAAAACTTTTATAAACATAAAACAACATTTTCCCAAGAGTACTGATACTAAATAGCAACACGATTATTTAAGCTATAAATTATTATAATAACTTTGTACGTTTTGAAAATATAATCAGCATGAAGACTACGAATCTGAGAGTCTTCAATTAAGTGTTATACAAATAAAATTTTTAGAAGTGTTTGAACACTTAAATATACATTTGTAAATTCTACTTGAAAACAATAAATGCACTTGTAAATAAATATCATAAAACAACAACATATTTCATACTTATTGTTATAATTTAAAATGTTATCAAAATATTTGCAAGCTATGTTGATTTTCATTTTAGCGGTGTCGTATTTTACAAACAAATTTACTTTTAACAAAAAAAAAGGTTTATTGTAAATTTTGATTACAAAATTACCGAGAACTCCAAGTGGATATATCATATTATTAAAAAAATGGGCTGATGTTTTTATGAAGTTTACAAAATTTGCTGTATATTAATGATAAATAAATTATGTTTTTTTAAAAGTTTTTTCCACATGGGTTTACAAGAGTAGTATTTTTACTGATTTGTTTTGGAAGTTTTACTAATTTTATAAAGAAAATATTTTAGGAATATCGCAAAATATTGGAGTTATTTTAAAAGTGTTTTATTTTTAAAGTTATAAAGCTTTAACTGCCAAATCTGAATGGCCTTTTAGAATGTTTGACTTTTGTTGGTATCTGCTTAAGTAATTATAGTGTAGGCTTCTCAAATACCACTTTTAATAAATAATAATAAATATTAACAGAAAACAATAATACCTGCAGTTACAGTGTTTCCACTGCGCTGTTGTTAAGACTATATATATATTTTTTAATAATTTGTGGTAAAAATGCACTATTGTTGTGATTCTATGATAGATGTGCATTAAATAGTGTATACGAATTATAGTCCGAATAGGTTTTCCTTTTTCAGGCATTCCGTCACTACTCTTCAAGTTCAAATAGGGCACATGTTCATGTAACGATAAAGTGACCTACTTTCGAAAAGCTGGCATTTTAACAAAAGACTCTTTTTAAAAAAACCTGTCACCGCTTAAACGATAATTTGTCCTTGTTGCAAAAGTATTAAAAACTCAAAAACCATCAAGAGCGATATTTTGCATTCATTCTGAGCTGTTCGTTTCGTATAACGTGTTATTTTGTTTTCAAACTATCCTCCTCAATTTTTATAAGCAATCAGCTTTTTTTTTGCAACAATGAATTATATAGTTTTGATTCCAAATCTTTAAAAAAAAAACACATTAGTTAAAATGAATAGAAATTAATGATTAAGCTTAAACTTTATAAAGCGTTAACACCTAGCTTCATGATTGTATTGAAATTATATTCTTCTTCTTTTTCCTCAGCTTATCGGCCCATTAAGTGCCATCGCTGCCATCACAAAACCTCTCCATTTCTCTCTATCGTATGCGTCGTCAAAAGATGACTCTTCTTCTATGTTTTTGATATCTTGAGCTATAACATCCACCCATCGGGTCCTTGGTCTTCCTAATGGACGTTTTTTATTTATTTTGTTAACTAAGACTTCTTTTATTACTTGTCCATCCGCTCTCCAAACATGGCCGAACCATTCTAGTCGTTTGCTTTTTATATATGAAATAATATTTGGCCTGTTATATAAATCCTGTAGTTCTTGATTTTTCCTTCTTTCGTAAGTTTGTGTTTCTGCATTGAATTTCGGGCCGTATAAATTTCTCAGTACTTTTCTTTCGAAGGTCATTAGTCGTCTGCTGTCTCCTTTGGTCAGTGACCATGTTTCACTCGCGTATGTGATTATTGGTCGTAGATAGCTATGATACAGTAGTGTCTTTGAGTTATGTGACAGTAGTTTTGATTTAAGGAGTCTCCTTATGCTATAGTAGCATCGATTGCCGCATGCTATCCGATCATTGATTTCTTCATGCATGTCGTTGTTGCTATTTATGTTAACACCTAGGTACTTAAATACCTCCACTTTCTTGAAACTATAGTCATCTACTGTTATGTGGTCTATGTTTGGACTTCTTCTTGTTACCATTAAGTATTTCGTCTTTTCCTCATTTACACACAGCCCTATGGTTTTACTTGCTTTCAAGAGTTTGGACGCAGTATTTATGACTTCATCTCTAGTTTCTCCCATTACTACAATGTCATCTGCGTATGCCAATATTACTCGTATTGATTGTATTGAAATTATATTATTAACAATAATTGTAAAAAAGGAGCTATCATTCGTTATTATATTATCATAAAGTTTGTTTTATTGTTCATTTCATTTTAGTGTAATAGGGCTTGACACTAGCATATTGTAGACTAGTGAGGGCAGCGTTGGGGGCTCATGTGCCCAATCGTTTATCACAATATACGAGTAATGTTCACGACTGGCGTCCCCTCAATGACCATTTCAGTAGGTGCCATTTTGTTATTAATGTGCATGTTTCCCGTGGAGCACAACAAAGAAAACTGATGTAACGTGATGGGATTATACTATAATGGATAATTGTTTAATGATATTATGATACTAATAATAATATGCCAAATAAAAACGTCTTCCGCGGTGACACGTCATGGTAATAAAATGAATCCTTACTCATGAGTCATTTAAACGCATTGATGGAAAACGCCGGTGCGATTAAAACCTATTAAAATCCCAATAGGAAATAACTAACAGCTTACGGTTAAACTTGTATAATAACGTTCAAAACAATATAATAACTCTAAAATTATACGGAAATTACTTAATACTATTAATTTTTATATTCTCATATAACTTGATTAACACTTACTTGATTTAATCCAATCTATTATCTTATATCTTGCGAAATTGATCTTCATCTGAAGCCAAAAATTGCAAGATATTTATAGTAATGCAATCTACATAAATTTAAACGCGCTTAATCGTATCTTAAAATTGGCATTTAAGGCATTTTGTAGTTTGTTTCATTGTTAATTTATCAAAGAATCCCTTAAACATTTGGCGTTTTATTTACATTAGGAATGGTGAAAAAGGGTAGTAATCATTAACTTAAAGGTATCGCTTTTCGTTTCACATTTATCTTCGAGGAAAGTTTTTAAACAAATAACTTTGCATAAAAACTTTAAATTTCTGTATAATCGAACACAATTAAACTCAAACGACTACTAGCAATATTAATAGTTTTCTATTATTTATAATAAAGAAGGGTAATAACGTATATTGGCACACCATGTGCCAAACACTTGCAGTTTATCAACATAAATTGGATTTACTAAATCAATAATGTAAGCATATTATCACTTTGAACAAACGATATCTAAATTATAGGTTACTGATATGTTTATTAAAAATAAACTTAAATAGAAATAAATTTTTAAGTCAATGGATTACACAAATATTTATTTCTTAAGCTTAGATTGAAACATAATTACCGTTGTTTATGAAACAGGAAAAAAAGTATTTTGAATTAAATAATATTATGGGAAATACTTGAGAATAAAATTTCGATATTGATTTTTGATATTAGTAGACATTATATTGTCATATACTTTCTGAGACAATATTAGTGTATGAATTAACAAATTTTATTTCTTTGGTCGCAAATAACTGATTACCATTAGAGCCATAGTTGCTTTTTTCATTTTTCAAGCATTCATTCATTTCATGTATATGTTGTAGAGCGCAACCATGTTTGGAATAATACTGATAAAGACTTTTAATATACGCTTGTCTCGTTGATTGACATGTTGATGATTTGTACGATTTATAAGCTTGCACTATTTCCCTCATATAATTTTTTTCAAAAAAACTGATTACTTGCTCTTCGGGATGTTGTTCAAAGAATTCAAAAATATCTTGTCCGTCATTAGTTCTTACAACGGAAATATCTTGAGATGAATTTGTGTTGTCTTTTTGATCTGTTTCATTGGTGTCATTCTGTGAACTGTCCTGAGATTGAGATTTACTATCTGCTTTTTGATTATTTACATATTCGCTGAATTCTTGAACGTGTTGATCAGCATAACCATTTTTGGAGTAATAACGAAAAAGATAACTAGTGTAAGTCAGTTTGTCTTGCTGGCTTTCTGATGATTTGTATGATTTATAAGCTTGTATAACTTCATTCATACCTTTCTGTTCGAAGAAACTAATGACTTGCTCTTTTGAAAATTGTTCATAAAATTCAAAAATGCTCTGTCCGTCATTAGTTCTTGCATCGGAAATATCTTGAGATGAATTTGTGTTGTCTTTTTGATCTGTTTCATTGGTGTCATTCTGTGAACTGTCCTGAGATTGAGATTTACTATCTGCTTTTTGATTATTTACATATTCGCTGAATTCTTGAACGTGTTGATCAGCATAACCATTTTTGGAGTAATAACGAGAAAGATAACTAGTGTAAGTCAGTTTGTCTTGCTGGCTTTCTGATGATTTGTATGATTTATAAGCTTGTATAACTTCATTCATACCTTTCTGTTCGAAGAAACTAATGACTTGCTCTTTTGAAAATTGTTCATAAAATTCAAAAATGCTCTGTCCGTCATTAGTTCTTACAACGGAAATATCTTGAGATGAATTTGTGTTGTCTTTTTGATCTGTTTCATTGGTGTCATTCTGTGAACTGTCCTGAGATTGAGATTTACTATCTGCTTTTTGATTATTTACATATTCGCTGAATTCTTGAACGTGTTGATCAGCATAACCATTTTTGGAGTAATAACGAGAAAGATAACTAGTGTAAGTCAGTTTGTCTTGCTGGCTTTCTGATGATTTGTATGATTTATAAGCTTGTATAACTTCATTCATACCTTTCTGTTCGAAGAAACTAATGACTTGCTCTTTTGAAAATTGTTCATAAAATTCAAAAATGCTCTGTCCGTCATTAGTTCTTGCATCGGAAATATCTTGAGATGAATTTGTGTTGTCTTTTTGATTTGTTTCATTGGTGTCATTCTGTGAATTGTCCTGAGATTGAGATTTACTATCTGCTTTTTGATTATTTATATATTCGTTGAATTCTTGAACGTGTTGATCAGCATAACCATTTTTGGAGTAATAACGAGAAAGATAACTAGTGTAAGTCAGTTTGTCTTGCTGGCTTTCTGATGATTTGTATGATTTATAAGCTTGTATAACTTCATTCATACCTTTCTGTTCGAAGAAACTAATGACTTGCTCTTTTGAAAATTGTTCATAAAATTCAAAAATGCTCTGTCCGTCATTAGTTCTTGCATCGGAAATATCTTGAGATGAATTTGTGTTGTCTTTTTGATCTGTTTCATTGGTGTCATTCTGTGAACTGTCCTGAGATTGAGATTTACTATCTGCTTTTTGATTATTTACATATTCGCTGAATTCTTGAACGTGTTGATCAGCATAACCATTTTTGGAGTAATAACGAGAAAGATAACTAGTGTAAGTCAGTTTGTCTTGCTGGCTTTCTGATGATTTGTATGATTTATAAGCTTGTATAACTTCATTCATACCTTTCTGTTCGAAGAAACTAATGACTTGCTCTTTTGAAAATTGTTCATAAAATTCAAAAATATCTTGTCCGTCATTAGATCTTACATCGGAAATATCTTGAGAAGAATTGGTGTTGTCTTTTTGATTTGTTTCATTGGTGTCATTCTGTGAACTTACTTCAATTTGAATTTCAATATTTTGGTTTTTATTTTTAATGAATTCTTTAAGTTCTTGGACATCCTGGTCAACACATTTTTGTTTGGAGTAGTAAATATATAGACTTTTAATGTATTCTAATTTTATTTGTTGGCATTTAGATAATTTGTATGACTTATATAATTGTAAGACCTTTTGCATACCCTTTTGTGTAAAAAAGCTAGTTACTTCGTCCTCAGAAAATTGCTCAAAAAATTCGAAAATGTCTTGTCCTTCTTTGGTCTTTACCTCCTTACAGTATTCATTTTGACATTCGGAGTTATCACTTTGGTTTTCGACGTATTCGTTTATTTCATGGACATCCTGGTCAACACATTTATGTTTAGAATAATATTGGTATAGACTAGTTATGTATGCTTGTTTTATTTGTTCACAGTCTGAAGATTTGTATGTCTTGTACGATATTAAAACTTCATTCATTTTCTTCTGTTCAAAAAAGCTGATAATTTGTTTCTCAGAGAATTGTTCGTAAAATTCGAAAATATCTTGATTGTCTTTAGTATATACTGGTTTTATACATGTTGGAGGGCACGCTATCGCTAGTGTAAATGCCTGAAAATTCACAAATATATTAATATATTTTTGAAATATATTAATTATATAATTATATAGAAACCATGTTATTCTTCTGTAAATAATTAAATTTAATAAATATGAGGTTACAATTAATTAATTGTTAGTCATTTACAAAATTGTAGTATGATAATTATCATGTTCGATACTAAAATTCTAAAAATTTGAATAATGTTTTTTTTAACGAATACATTATTGCTAAATATTTAAAATATAATTTTAAAATATTTGGTTTTAAGTTTAAGCCTAACTGAGTATTTTAATTTCCACCTAACCATTCGACCAAAATGAAGATATTGCTAACTGAGTAGTTGACTCGTTAAAAAAAATCAGCGAGTTAACTTTTTTAATTAGAAACTAAAGTTTAGAATTTAGTTTAAAAACTTACTGTTATTGCCAAGGCCGCATTGACAATTTGTAATTTACATGACATAGTTAAGGGTTATAACTTGTTTGCTGTTCACATAAACAATGAATGAAAAATGTGATACCACGTAGAATGATAATTTCACAAAGCGGACATCTGGTTTTTATAAGGTCTTAAAATGTTTGTTATGTAAGCCTATAACTAGCTGTACTTCGATAACATTTGTTTGAAAAAAGCCTTTTCAGCGTTTGTTAACGGCCCATAAAAAAAATATTGGAGAAGTCCATTAATTTGTTTTATCACATTTTCACGAATTTTTAAAACGGATTAGGTAACATATATTTTTACACGAGGAATTGAAAACAAGTTAAAATATAATTCGTAACCACACGTGTATATTTATCGTGACCATATTTTATTGCACCCAAAATCGTGCCCTTTGATAATACCTATAGTAACGTGAGCCAATTCGTCGTAAAATAATTATCTGAATAGCAACCACAATTCAATACACTGTAAATAAACATTAAGTTGTTTTAAATGTTTAAGATCAATGAAAATTTCAATTACAAATCGGTTAGTGTAACTACAGTAAGCTCTACTAATGAATTGTAATATTTTTAGCTTTTAAATATAATAATTATAATAAATCGTTTCCCCTTTTAAATGGTGACATGGCTTGCGGCTTCTAAACTTAAAAGATATTTTAATTAAGTCTGATTATATTTTTAAGTTACATAGCATAAAAAGTATTACTCTTTTAGTGGAAGTTCTTAATAAAAAATGGCATGTATACAAAATAAATTACATTGACATTTTCAACTAAAATTCCAATAACGGTTATTATTGTTTTTATTGTTTATCGTATATCAAAGAGTTTATATATGATAACTGAATTGGTACTTGTTCAGTGGACCATAAATAATAAATAAACTTGAAAGTTCTATCACTGTGGAGATTTGATAAGTCAATCATAAACTGCCTGGAGAATTAATGGAGACGAATTTAAACAAGTAAGGCAGAATAATAATGGATGCTTGTCAGCAATAAGTATTTACATTTGTTTAATGAAATAGCTTTTTCTTAGTTATCAGTGCGAAAATAATTTAAACGTTATAAGCACTAGTCATTCAAGTTCCGATCCACAAACATTGAAATGCATATGTAACAACGGTCATTACTAAAGTATATCAAATTTACTGACAGGTAATGTTTATAAAAAGTTATATTATTAATAGTAATTTACTAAAAACGAGTAGGTACTTATAAATAAATCGTCGAATTCATCCACACAACATTTAGTACGTAAAATATTATTTATTAAGTGTAATTATAATGTACACAATATAATAAATCAATATCCAGTGAGACAAAGGAGAAGAATAAAAAACAATTTTCTAAACAAATAAAAATAAATCAAATATATAATTTAATATAAATTATAATTTTAAGCATTTTGTATTTTTCTCAATGTAATCAAGTATTTATAAACATTAATTGGACAAAGACAATGTCGAAATTACCCCTGATAGAACTTAAATCACTAAGCTGTACCATCATAATAATAGAACAATAATGTACAATTTTCATGTATTTATCTTTGTCCAATACTTATAAAGATTACCTTTACTTTTTAGGTGAAATTTTTGATAACTCGAGAGATAGTTAAGTCAATACTATGTATTAAACAAGTATTTAGCTAGGAACCAGGCACTAGAACATCAAATTTTGCATTTTCCAACACATATTTCCTGTTGTAGTGGAAAATCTTGTATTAACAATTTTCCTTTATAGTACAAATATAAACTTTTAATATTTAATTTTTTTCATACACCATGAGTGAAATATTACTTGCCATAGAATTACAGTTTTCTAGAAATCCACACTTCTCAGCTATATTTTACTCTCAAAAAGTGTTGTGATGACAAGTTTATTTTGTAAAATTTTACACAGTATGATCGTTCCAATTTGAGAGCTAACAAAAATTTATTCCGCAATAGCTTATATGTTTTATGAGCCACCATACAAGCAACGGCTGATTCATTTAATCTGATATTTTTTTAGTAAGCTATTAAATCTGTTTAATAGAATATGTACAAATTTTCTATTAGTTAAATAGATTTTAGTTATTAATAAATTTAATAACACAATCTTACATTATAAATGGTTACTGTGTTTAAGTTTTAAGTTTTTTGATGAGGGGCGAGAATACTGATGTGAATCTGATTTTCTATCAACCAATTGTCCATATGATCCAATTATACGACCGTTCAAGTTTAATTTCAAAAAAGATATAGAGTTAGTCGTGAAATAAGCGTTTATTTTACAAGATGAGTGCATCATATGACATAAATACAGCTACAATACGTGTCGTACGCGTTGTATTAAAAAATAAAGCATAACGTTTTATTTTGTCAATCTATCTATATTATATTTTTCTCCCTAGTTTGAACGTGCAACATACAATGTATAACCACCATCCCCGTTCGAACTGCGAATGACAATCATGGAGCATTTCTGTTTAATATATATATATATATACATAAATATGTACGTTCTTGTACATTATAAATTATTATTTTTGCCAAGAGGAAGAGAATAGCGTGGGCCTGAAATTAGATTTTCTTCCAGCGTTAAGTATAATAACACAGAACCATCGTAAAAATAGGAGTAGTTCCTCCTTTAGTAATTGCATCTAAACACACGGTTGTACAATTCGAGAAACCCGGTCTTCTACCACCCGACAAACCACAATATAAAATAGAAACCGCATTTACTAGTGAACATTTTCATAAAATTCAAATTAAGTATTAATTTTATAAAATCTACCATCTACGTATATCTGAGTGTAGTAAACGGCTGCGCTCTACAGTAACAAGTCTGCCAGTTGCGCCAACATAATATAAATATTTGATGTCTTTAATTGACACACGTTATATAATATTTAACTGAATGTCATTTTACAATCAACAAATGACTGTATTACGTTATTATATTATTAATAGTCAATATTTTACAGAATAATTCCATTAAGTCGTCCACTGGAAATGTATTATTTGGACGGTTTTAAGTGGATCAATCATTTAATAAAGTTGAATGACCGCTCTTTATAAAATTAAACTGCCAGTCGAGTAGACATACTGAGATATATATTTTTTTTAATTCACCAACCTTTTATGATATTTTGTTAAAGTATGAATAGAAATAGAGTACCTATTGTATTTTTATAATTTATTTATTAATTTTTTTTGTTTTACGTAAGTATATCAAGATATAGTGGTTTTCGGTACTAAAAATATATAATTGAGGTTGTATTGTCCATGACAAAATAGATAGGTATGATGTCAACTGTCGTGATACGCAGTATCGGCCATCTTGCTTTTCTCCAAACGTTATCAGGCGGTAGTAATCAATATTCATGCTATCACTTACATGTGTTCCGTGAGATGACATTATGTTAAAATAATTTATTTTTAATTAAAATTATAAATCTAATAGTTATTCAAATGATTTTTCCTAATAGACAAAAAACATTTCTTATAGAGTTATGTCTTTAATATCACACATTGTGTAGTTAATGCTCCAATGTATAAAAACCAAGGAATGAGATTATAACAATATACACATTTTATAGATCTTTTCACAATCTAACCCCTGTGGGTTGGGGTTAAGAATAGATATACAGTAACTCCTGCTAATTAAAGGCGCTTAAAGGGACGTAGCAGTAAGACACAGTAACTACTACTACAGCAGCTTGTACATCTCACAAAACATACTGGCTCATCAACTGTGATGCAAAAAGCAAGAGAGAACTACCTACTGTATTCCTTTCCTTAAAATAAGGATAAACTAAACTATGTTGGTTGCAGGAAAAGGCTTTTACAAGTAATTGAAAGAATTCTTTTTTGCATCATTTAACCTGTCTATGGATTTAAAATATATACACGAATACATATTTATTATATATTTAATTGTATAAAAAACTATGTTTTCAGCAGAGCCTAGCAGTTTAAATACTTAGGGTTAGTACTAATTGAAAAGAATGATATAGATAAGGAAATTTCATATAAAATATGGTGTTATACTATTAGCTAATCCGTCTTGACTAAAACTATTATTATTAAAAAAAAAAAAATGATACAAAATGTAATTTAAGTACCATACTTCTCTATTAAAACAAATTACATAACCTAAATTGTAGTTATAGTAAAATGATTATTGGCACCGGTCCAATGTACGACTCATATCTGTCCAATGTGCGACCTACACCTTTTTATGAACACTTAGACTTGGACCGGTGACTGAGTATCTTACTAATATCATACCTCAATAGTATTGAATTTGGGTCTTCTTGATTTTTGAGGTGAATAGCCTGCTAATTTGTGTACTAAAGTTTTCTCAACAATGTCATTAGCATTGAAATGTAATGAACATACAAAAGCTACAACAACACCAACTCCTTTTATCTCGAGAAAAACTAAATATTTAATATCTGATACCTTTATCTACATTTAATAGGTTTATTACTTTGAATTTGCAAGTCCCATTTTTTTTTTAATTCCTCATTTTTAGGAAATTTGTGAAGATGGATGTGTGGATTTTTGTTGAGACCTTTGCGCCTACTGCCACTTAAACATCCATCAAAAACACAAAGAGGTATTTTAAATTATATTTAAATAAACAAAATAAATATACTCTTTATACAGTCTTAATAGTTAATTATTCTCTACTTTAGTTCTATTTATTATATACATCATTTACAAACTAAAGTTTTGGCGGGCATATAATTTCCTGATAAGATATAATTTATAGCCAATCACAGGCGGAGAAAAGCTATCGCCATTTCTGCGCATTCGATTCATAAACTCGTAGTTTGACATCATACCTATCTATTTTGTCATGGCATTGTCAAACAGTAATAAAAAAGTAATACAAAAATTATGGGTTTTTATTATTAATAAGTTAAAGTAATTTAATATAATTAAACACATAAATTAACACTTTTTCTTTACTATATTTTGAAAAATATAAGAATATAATAATCCATATTTTAGAATTCTGATCGAAATTTAAAATAACAAGTAGTAGCAAAATGGGGCTTTACCGCCCATTGTATACAAATTCTAG